TAATAATAATAATAATAATAAATGTCACTGGTCAGTGGGACTTACTCTCTATTCAGTTGGTTCTGATCTCAGCCTTAATTCAGTTTCCATAAATACAGTATATAAATGAAAGAGGAAGTTCCCTTTGTAAGCATAGTTTAAGTGTTCTTATTTGTGGAGCTCACTGCAGCACACAGGTTTATTTTCTCTAGGTCCATTTTGTCATAACAGTACTATGAGGTGTAAGTTAGGCTATAGGGCAGAGTGACTGGACAGTCACTTCACAGCTTCAAGTCAACCTAAGTGTCTGTAGTCCAGCATGTGGGCCAGAGCATGACACTAACTGTCAGTAGCCCTCTTATGAGGCATACACCTCATAAGACGCATCCTTTCCAAAGAAGCATTCCCCATAGGGAAAACAGAATACTTCAAATATGGCACCATCCGCCCACATTCTTTTCTAACTGCCATATTAAAATAATTGCATAGCTTTAAAATTTGCTGTTGGATGAATCAGGAACACCTTTACAGTTTTTCATAAAAGTAAGGAAGCAATTTAGCCAATTATAAAAAAGTAAACATTACAGCCTCAGAAACGGGATGAATACAAACACAGGTCATACACAAAATTCATAAGAGTATGACTTTGTTGCAACCATGGATCAAACTGTGAAAATTATGTTTAAAATGTGGGTGTTCATGAAGTTCTGAGCTGGCAGCAGAGCTATAAGATAGGAATTTGTTCTAAAGGGCTCATCTCCCAACTTTCTAGCATAACATACTATATAATCTAACTAGGATGTCCAGATTTGGTCATCCTTCAAACAAGCCCAATACAATCACTGAGTGAGCCATAACTAAATTCAGTATCACAGCTGAGTTCCTACAGGATAGAATGACTGTGTATTAGTTGTGTATCAGTGCATGCAGCCTTTTAGTTTGTGGCACCTACAACTTGGTAAACAAACTTCGAATAATCTGTTTTCACAGTTAGTCCAACCCTACGATCCTGATTTATTGCTCTGAGCAATCTAGGATTTATAAGCCAATAATACAGTAAATACTTATTTTAAGTTCTGTCTCATAAAGGAAGCCAGAAGCCAGGATCCTTGGTTCAGAGGCACAATTTCTGGTTTGTTCCAAGCAGGAAGAGCCATGCAGGAATGATTGGGTTGCATACACTGATATAGATTCATAGAACCATAGACTCATGAGGTTGGAAGGGGCCCATAAGGCCATCGAGTCCAACTCCCTGCTCAATGCAGACATACAAATTGAAGGATATCTGCCAGGTGGTTGTTTCACTTGAATGCCTCCAGTGCTAAAACACTCACCACCTCTTGAGATCATTGGTTCCATTGCCGCCCTGCTCTAACAGTTAGGAAGTTTTTCCTGATATTCAACCGGAATCTGGCTTCTTGTAACTTGAACCCATTATTGCATGTCCTACACTATTCTATGGGATGATCTTCTGTAAGAGTTAGTACTGCTAGATCCAGTCATTAATTCCTATGATCAATCATGAGAGCTATTCTTCATAGTATCAGAAAACTGCTGGAACCTCAATGGTGGTTTACCATTGGGGCTATACTGGGGATCTTGATGGGCTAAATGCACCCCATGGGCCATATGGGTCCCGCCTCTTATTGGCCTGTTTACCAAGTTCATGTTGACAGTAGTGCAGTACTATTAGAGATTATTGTATCATTCTGGAATAGTTATTATTAATATGGGATAGAAAAAAATAACACTGCTGTGAAATTTCTATTGTGGATTTATGTTGGTATAAGTGTAGTTGTATAACTGCAGCGACAGATTATTCCTTAATAGTACATTGCTACTCACAGTCCTAGTTGTGCACCAGTTTATATCACTTCTTAATTAATGGCAGTTTGGCGTATTCTGTGCAATGAGAGACAGAGAGATTGGTCAGTGATGTTGTAGAATATGTGGCTGCAGGTGTGTCTATGTGAATATTCATGAAAACAGTTGCTAAAGGCAATAATGACTATTGTGGCATAGAATATAATTCTCATTTGTTCATCAGTCATGGGTTATCTCCAGATATCAGGCTACAGAAAGCATCCAGAGAAAGATGATTTTCCTGTGCCATCCTCTTTCTGTCAGCACTTAGGGCCCCTTCCTCCAGTGATGACATGGTATGTTTCTGTATCTGTAGGGTTATGCATCAGAGCTTGGAAATGTTGTGTTTTTGGACTTTGGTTCCTAAAATCTCCCTGGCCGTTCTGGCTCTAGGATATTGAGAGGTCCAGTTCCAAAAAGAATTTCTTCTAAACTCTTTATGTTATGTTAAGTCCTGTCAAGTTGGAATCAACTTATAGTGACCCTAACAGGGCTTTCAAGATAAGTAATGTATTGCATATGAATGCAAGAGAAGGGAGGTAAGGATAGCTAGCCACAGTAGTTTAATGGCACTTTTACGACTACAGGCAGAAGGGTATGCCTTAGAATTCCAGTTGGTGGGACGACAACGGGTAAATAGCAAGGGGAGAAGGATGCTTTGCTTGTGGACTTTTCTGAAGCATCTTGTTGGCCACTGGTGGTCAACTGGAGAAGCCTACAATTAGATCCAGCCTATGAAATCTCATGCTTGAGCCATGTACATGATTATTGGCATATGACCCAAATTGAGCAGTTCTGCTTTCATTATTATATACAGTAGTGGGGAAAGATTGGTACACATGCCATCTACTGCACTTAGTTCCAGTAACTCCTGCATTGTGCCAGCTTCCAGAGTGATGCCTAAATTGATTAGGCCATTCATGGCCATAAGGATTAAAGTAGCCTTACCAAGCAAAGATGCTGAAGATGAGTGAGAAACTGGTTCTATTCTTTGTGGCTCAGTCATAGCATAATACAATCCATCCTTAATTCCCCAGCCGCCGCCCCCCCCAGTAATAATTTATACATCCGGGTTTTCACCCACATTTTTTTCCTCAAGGGCGTATCTGGTTGATGCTGTCACTCCAAGGACAAATCCATTGAATTTGCTTTTGTGCAATTACTTCAATGTCATAATAATACCATGTGACCTGAAATATCACACAGACATCTGGACATTCAAGGCCTTTTGATCCTGTACTTGGAACCATGGTGCTGTTTCTCTTTCACCATATGGCCCACTTTCACTGGGACAGAAGAAATCAACAGTGTACCAAGGCAACAAGAACTGCACTATAGCAGCATTGCTCCCCACCTTCAGAAAAAAATATATGTCCGTACACAACCTGAAAATAAAACTTAACACTACCACTGCCATGTAACTCCTTTGCCTTGGTGTTTCCTGTAGACTAAGCTGAACCACTAGCAGATTCTTCTTCTTGCAAGTAAAATTACAATTCCAGGAAAGCTTTTTTCTAATTTCAGAGGAACTCTGACAAAATATCTCTGCTTTGAAGAAGATTACAGTAAAATCTAAAGTACATTTGAATGGTGACAGAAATAACCCACAGACAATTAAGATGACAGATTATTTTTTAAATTGCCATCGGTGGATTTCAGTAGTACTACTTTCAGAGCTCTTATATAGGTAAAATAATACTTGGCCACAGATCTTAGGAAGAGGGATTATTTGTGTGTTTCAAGTAACTATGAAATGTAAGCTGCATGGTGAGATTATAAAATGCAGATAAATTGCCGCAAAATAGAGATTAGTATCTCCCATGAATAACCCTTGTTAAATTGAGAAACAGTTTGTAGACTAGACAAGAAATGTCTCTTTCCATAAAAGCATGTGCAGTTGATTACTGGTTTGTTCTTTGCATGGTTGAGTAAGCACAACAAAATTCCGCTACAGTATTCTGTCATTCCTCCACAGCTCGCAATACCTTCCTGATTCTGGCAAATATTTTTAAAAGACTGTCACCTAAAATATCAGAGAGAGCATTGCCAAATCTGCTAGGCTTTTGATAAACATGAAACATGTGACCAGTTCCAACTTTCATTTTCATTCTGTTTTTAGTTTTTTGAGTGGATGTGAAGGTATAAAAAAATTAATACTGTTATGAAACTGAGTGGTGTTGGTAGGCAAAGCAAGGAAGGGAGAGAAACAGGAGAGGATGAGGCACAAGAAGGGGAAGGGGTTGCCAAGAAGGAGGCATAAAAATTTCGAACACAGGAAAAGAAGGAACACCCATCCAGAGTGGGAAAGTGGGAAGATCAGGAACTCCCACCACCACAGAGCAAGTACACATTCATTATGGGTATACACAACAGTCACAATGCTGTCTCAGTGTGGGACACAAAAAGCCCTGAAGCTAACCTGCAGCTTTCCCAAAGCCAATGCAAAGGTTATTTTGCTAGGGATTTTCCCCTTCTGTCATGTGAATTTCACGGATCAGATGAAGGTCCGTACCAAGATATATTGCCAGTTTGGTTCAGTTTGCGGCTGATGAGAATGTTCCTTTCTAAAGAGTCCTGCCAGTCAGATCAGACAACACCCATTGCTCATCAAGACAGACAAATAATCTGACCTAGCAGCTTCCTATGTTCCTGTCATTATGTTAACTCAAAGGAAGACAACCCTGTGGTCAATAGGCTGTATCTATTTTTCATACCAAGCTTATCTAGCCACAGATGGCTCTACCTTTCAAAAATAAAAATAAAGATAGGTAAAAGAGTTGCCTGAAGTATGATTTTACTTTTC